CACTGAAAACGATGTTTAAAAAGCATCCGTTGATCGATGAATCGCCACGGTTAATTTGTATGCGATTCAGCATGCCGCACAAACAGCCGATGTAGAACAAATGACGGTTGGAATGATTGATCGGTCGTTTTCTGCAAACCTGTGTACGTACACATCAGCTATAATTGACAGGCAGAACAATTGTACATGATGGGCACGCTGTGATTCGCGAAGAATATGAACTTGAACATTGGGGAACAGATATCGCCACGGTTTTGTGCATTTGAGCGGCTTCAAACGACCACACAATATAACTTATGTATGCAATTAATAGGTTGAACTTGGGAACAGAAGCGTCAAATTATTCAGAACCCATTCCATTCCAAAACGACAGCTTGCAACCGCATGAACGTTTCAAACTCCAAATTGTATAAACAGCTGCAGTAGCCGGCGCTCATCTGTTCTGTTTAACATACTCACGGCTTGAAAACTGTTTGATTCGATAGGTAAGTTTCACAATTTTTGAGCAACCAAACGAATGAAAAGTCGGAAATGCGAGTGTCCTTGGTTTAGGGTAAACGACCTCCACGGGGTCTGGCTGATCCCGACGAGTGACTGTATGCATGCATAATACTCACACCAGTTTGCGGGCGTAGGGGTTATTTCACCGATCCATTTTGTCGTAACTAAGTACGCCGGATCAGATGAGGTCAATTACTGTCCTATTAGTCCGTTTTGGTCAAAGCCGCACTCGATCGACGGCGAAACCGTGCCCGTGTGGGTGAGAGAGCTCTCGGCCAAATCCCGCATTCGGGCTTGAAAACCTGTTTATGCAATCCGTCGTTCTTTGCCACATTGCAGCGAACCTATTGTAGATTTCTAACTCCAAAAACATCAAATTGATGAATTAATATTATGAATATTCTACCTCGATTTCATTGATTAAAAATACGATTTTATGGTCAGTTTTCAGGACAGCGCTACGTTCAACCAAAAACTGCAGCTCTTTTGAAGAAATATGAGGTAAAGAGGCTTTTTCATACACCAGATACCGATTTTATTGTTTTACGATAAAATTTGATCAATGCCCGTTTCCTTTATGCCAGTGATTGAAGGAAAGGCTAACATCTCACGACATGATCTTCTTGATGCGATAAATAAAGAGAACAGAGTGTTTCAAACATGGAAGTTATTTATAAAATTCAGTAGTCTTGTGTGAATACGTAATGTTGACAACCCCCAAACATATATTCCAGATCACCAAAATGCCGAGTTCAACCTATCACTAGATTTTTAAATGCGGTTCCTACCATAAACGGGGGACCACTTTAGTTTACCTAGTTAATTAATTGATCAATAATTTCACTCCCGCAGGGCTGGAATTATGACAGAGCTGGTCAATTAGGTCACACGTGATGGTCAAAACGTCAATAAGATTATGAATTTCTGGATAGATCACAATCAACCAATTCGTTTGAATTTACAATTGCTACGCACGTTTAGGTTATCCGAATAATCTGAAACTAAAACTGTTCACACTGAACCGAAGAATTGTTTCCGAAACCATGGAGATTACTCGACTGAAAATATTGCGGTGACATTTTTATTTTTCTTAAATTTCTGGTGGATATTTTCGGCCAGGACGCGTTGAACATTTAAAATAACCGCTCCCAACTCAGTAGCACGTCTATCTGTGGTTGGCACGAAGCGTAGACGAGCGATCAATTATGGAGCGCCAATATCCACTGTGTTCCACGCAAGGGTCCAGATCACCCAACACTGGCTGTAGAGGGTTTCGTCGTTTACAGATTAAAGGAAGCCTGTGGTGGGAAGTGCTGTAAAGCCGCTTCAATTCTTGTTTGGCATACGATGCAATCCGACCTATAATGGAGTGGAATTTGTCATCTTCCTCGGCTATCGATTATCCGGCTTCAAAACATTGCCGACTGAGTCGCAAATCACGAAAGTTAGTGCTCAGCTGGAGAAGTTCAGTTACATAGAATATCAACTGATGCAGTCTGATCAGCTGCCCGAGGATAAAGTGAATTGCGTGTATTTTTCATTTTAATGAAACTAGCTCTGGTGTGCGGATAAACCGACTTCCTAAATGCCTCAGATGAATGATGTCCACGACGGTCAGTTTGTTCTATGAACCGAACAGAATGAAGGCTGTCGAATTCCCGAAGGTCTAAATCTTCTATGCCATCCGACTTAATCAAACTGGAGCTCAGCACCCAGGGAACGAGCCAACCTGGATGCGAAGTTCGCAGGAGACCTATGGAAATTGTTGGTTAAGGTCCTCGAGGGACACGGTTCAAACATCGGAGGTGGCGGCTCCCACAAAACGGGAAACATCATCAGCGGAAACCCGTTCTTAGCACAACTACCAGTGGTAGCGTATGAGCAGCACTGAGGTAAACCGGAACGTATTCGGTAATGACTCGCTGTCGAATTCGTTATCAGACATGGCCATAAACAAGATCATGGAGTTCCTTGGGAGTTTGGTACGAGAGGAGTCCCCAGCATCACTGGGGGTCAATGACTTCAGTTTTAAAAGGCCAGTTACATCGACCTTTGTCACGACACTGTCATTGGGCTTATGCAGCTTTTAAACAAGAGCCAAGTGACCAACCTGAAACCCATCACACCCTGGTAGTGCTGCCGCTGTTTGTTCGTGACTGCTTATTTGTTGCGGTATGCCACAACTTATTCACAGCCAACCTTCTTCTGCGAAGGTATCCCCCAGTCCACAACCCGGGGACGTGTCCGGTAGCAGTCAGCTCTGCTTAACCCGAGGGTATCGAAAACATCACGACGTGGAACGCGGTTGGGATATAACAGTTAATAAAGCACGGCCTCATCCTGAATGATTGAACAAGACCTAATCGATTTTTCGGTCAAATAGGAATATGTGAAGCGAATGTTTCGGACTATTCCAGCAGGCAGTATCTCGTGTAATCCAGACAGTAGACAACTGCTCGGGATAAACATACTTTATGGAAAAAAACATTTGTGTAATGAACCTGTACAGCCGTTCAAA